TCTTTTTTTTCCTGAGTTCCAGCCAAAGCTGTCTGTTCCACCAGGCTGGTCGTCTTCCTCACCAGCTCATCTTTTGGCACATGGGGACAGCCTGTTCCTGCATCTTTAAGATTTCCTTCTTGAATAATGTCCAGCCTTCCTGGACTCCTTTGCCCTTCAGGACTGTCTCCAAAGGGACTCTGTCAACCTGGCCTCTAAACAGGCCAAAGTCTGCCCTCAGGAAGTCCAAGGCAGGAGTTCTGCTGCCCCCCCTCCTTAATTCTCCAAGAATCAAAAACTCTATCATTTTACAATCACTGTGCCCAAGACAGCTTCCAACCATCACATCACCCACAAGTCCTTCTCTGTTCACAAACAACAGGTCCAGCGAGGCACCTTCCCTAGCTGTCTCCCTCAGCAGCTGTGTCAGGAAGTTATCTGCCACACACCCCAGAAACCTCCTGGACTGTTTCCTCTCTGCTGTGCTATATTTCCAGCAGGCATCTGAGAACTTCAAGTCCCCCACGAGAACAAGGGCTAGTAGTTGTGAGACTTCTCCCAGCTGCTTATAGAATATTTCATCTGTCTTTCCTTCCTGGTTGAGTGGTCCGTAAACAGATTCCCACCATGGTATCTGCCTTGTTGGCCTTCCCCCCAATTCTTACCCATAAACACTCAACCCCATTGTCACCATCACTAAGCTCTAGACAATCAAAACACTCCCTACTGTACAGAGCTACCCACTGCCTGCCCTTCCTTGCCTATCCATTCTGAAGAGCTTATAGCCATCCACTGCAGCCCTCCAGTTGTACGAGTCATCCCACCATATTTCTGTGACTGCAACTCTGTCATAGTTTTCCAGCTGCACAACAGCTTCCAGCTCCTCCTGTTTGTTGCCCACGCTGTGTGCATTGGTGTAGGTGCACTTCAGTTGGGCTATTGATTCTGCCACGTTTTTGTGGGGAGTAGCCCTAATTGCTACATAACCATTCTCAGGCATTTCTGTGGTTTCTAACAGATCAATAACCCTTGCATCTTTGCTGCCACATGGATCTCCATCTCCTACCTCCACTGAGACGGCAGACCAAAGGACCTTGCTAGCACACCATCCTTCAAATGTTGGTGTGCCATCCCTGGGCTTATATCTAGGAAGCCTGGTTTTACCCCTTCCCCCTTCAAATATAGTTTAAAGCTCTTTCAACAAGCCCTGCTAAATCCTGCGCAAAGATCCTTTAGCCCTTTGAGACAGGTGTACGCCATCTGTTGCCAGCAGGCCTGGTGTCATGCAAACCAACCCATGATCAAAAGACCAAAAATTCTGCTGGTGACAGCAGGCTTGGAGCCAGGTATTGATCTGCTGGCTCTTCCTGTTTCTTCCCTCATCATTCCCTGCAGCTGGAAGGATAGAGGAGAACACTACTTGTGTTCCTGATCCCTTAACCAGTTGTCCCAAGGCCCTGAAGTCTCTCTTGATTGCCCTTGGACTTCTTGCTGCAATTTCATTGCTGCCTACCTGAAAAATCAATAATGAACGATGATCTGAGGGCCATACCAGGCTAGGAAGCATCCTCTTCATGCTTTTAACCTGGGCCCCAGGGAGGCAGCAGATTGCCCTAAGAAGTGGGTCCAGTCTGCATATTGGGCCTTCTGTTCCCTTCAGAAGGGAGTCTCCTGTGACAATGACCCGTCTTTTTTTCTTTATGGAAGCAGTGTTAATGCAGGGCGTAGGCCAACTTAGCCTCAGCGACACCTCCAAGCCAGATGAACCACATCTTTTATACCACAAGCGCAATTTGATTCTCTATCATGGCTCCACAGGAAACACCGCCTGTAGCTTTTTAAACAAGGAAGCTCAAGACAAGATACAGGAACCACAGGTATCAAGTGCCACAGAAAGAGCAACAAGTTTGGGTTCAGTCTTCTTTCCCAAGTATGCGATGCTTGATCTGAATTTTAAAGAGAAAAATATCATATCCCACTCTCAACCAGATCCCTCACAGCTCCCTTTTGCTAATATTGTTTTTAAAGACATATATATTATGTAGCATCCTGTACTACAGACAAACGTACATTCCTGAGGCGAAACAAAGTTGCTTATTCAACATATTTGTTATTTCCGATGTTGAGTACAGATATTAAATACCTGAAGCATCAGAGGTATAAATTATGCACAATATAAAATGTAAAACTTTTGATCTAAAGCAGAATTCTCCTCATCATAGCTAGCATGAAATAGCCTGTTCTTGGGTGTTTTTATGTATGTTTTCATAGTAATTTGAAGAGCTCATATTTCAAACAATATGAGGAAACACACAAAAAAACCACCACAAGGCTAAGCTTTCACACTGCTTTATGCAGTAGTTGATGACAACCATTTTTTAAAACAACTCTGGCTGAAGCACTTTACTGAGGCAACCACAAGACCTCCATAACCCATTTTCATTTTTAAGCCTACTGAATAAGACAGCGATCATAACAATTGATTGCTACGGAAAAAACATACGTAGAAAAATACATGGAAAGCTGTAAGCAAGAAAGTTGTGCCCAAGCCATTGTTCAGAAAATGTTACTTCTAGTGTGCAGGTGATTCGTAAAACCAACTCACTTTTACAGATTTGTTTCTTCCATTAAAAGCCTGACCATACAGCTACCCATGGGTAGCTTGCAAAAAACCCCACTCCCAGTGTTCCAACATCTTAAAATTGGGAACCAGTGTTGCAACATAAATAGAAGGGAAAAAAAAAATCTATTTACTGCCCTCCTTGTATTGAAGATAGAACAATTGAGCAGCCATTCAACATCAAAAGTGAAACAAAGAATTCACAAGGAAACTTACTGAAAATGGTAAAGGTGCTTTGACAGTTTGTATCACAAGTCTATTGAAAAAAAAAATCTACCTAATGATAGAACACTTCTGTTTTTTCTCAGTTTGGTTTTATTCATTTTTTTTAATTGAGCTTTAATAGACCAAATGACACAGAAAACAGTTGTCTTGCCTATCTGCATAGATTTGCTCTAAAACACTATTGCTGCTTGTTGTCTTTTTCTTTTCTTTGCCTTGCCTCCTCTCTGGATTCAGAATGGAGAAAGCAAGACCTGCAGTAGCAGAACACCACTACTGTGATGGTTTGCTGTATAGTTTTTGTTTTTTGAAGTGAAGCACATATGAAAATGAAAACACATAAGACAACCTCAGAGGAAGGATCACTCATGGAACAATCACTAACTAGACTATCACTAGCCCTTCCTCAAACATTCTGTTCGTGCAGCTAGCAGCAGCCCTCTTAAAGGACTCAAAACCAAAACACTAATGGATTCTAGGGAAAAAAAATACAAAACAATAAGGACATCCCTGAGTGTCTTGAGTCTCTTCAACTCAATACGAACAAGAGGCCATGAAGTATAACTCTACATGAAGCACAAACTCCCACTCAGGGTATGACTTCGCATACACCCATCAGCTGAAATACACCTTCCACTTTTGTTACCCAAGTATCAGGCTGCAAAGCTTGTTTGGGAAACTGATCTGAATGACTCTAGCCAAAAAGTAGAAACTTAGACTCTCTTTACAGTTTAAGGGACACTACCACCTTGGAATATTTACCTTGTAAAAACAGAGCTATACAAGGTATCTGAATACTACTTGCTTTGCAAGCGTAGCTAAAATAATATATTTTCAGCTTTTTAATAAAAGCACCTGAGATTCTGCAAGCATGTGGTACATCAGTCATACTATGTTTTCAAGCGGATATCTATTCATAAATAAAAACAAACGTTTAATTAAAAGAGAACAAAAATATGCATGTGGATGCCTAAATTCACCGTGACAAGTAATCTTTCTCAACTTCAGAGGGAATGCTCGCAGTCTTCAAAGACCACTGAAGGTAAGACTAGACAACTACAAAATGTAACCTTTTTAAAACGACGATAACTTTAAAAACTATCTCTCCAGGTTTACAGATTAAATAAAATATTTCATCCCAAATCTATCTAAGCAGCCATCAATTCATCACGTTTTCCCATGCAGACCAGAACACTGCTCTCTCCATTAAAAGACTGAAAGATCACCAAAGCAACTGAAATATATAGCCCTCATGCCTGCCACCACCCATATACCCAACTTACACTTTGAGCCCTGGAGAGTCCTCAGTGTAGAATCGCCACATCCCACCAGTACCTGTGGAAGTGGCACGGCCTGCACTTCTTGTCCCACAGCTGGCATTCTTCCTTTAGGGGACAACAGAATGAAACAAAGAGCAAAACACGTTGGCAATCTGCCAGCTTGTAGCACTAAGCACCCCAAGAGACTCTGCAGAAGTAAAACACATCAGCCTGTAGAGCCAGGCAAGCAGAGGGCACGACGGTTGGCCTAGCACCGCCTGCGGCTACAGGCAGGTGCACCGAGGGCCGACGACTTAGACCCACGGGAGCCCTGCCCACACACCCCACGGCAGCGCACAGCTCGGCCCGTTTGCACCGTCCCTCTGCCCGCGCAGGGGCTGCCCAGCCACCGAGTACAAAGGTCGGGGATGGGGCAGGGTTGTCCCCACCTCGAAGACGCCG